TCCCCCGCTCCCACCTCTCCCCACCCCGTCGGGTACGGGAAGGTCCCAGCCTCTGCCAGGTGCCCGAGGGCCATCGTGGCCGCCGCCACGGGTCCTCATGGAGCCGCCGCATCTGTACCCGGTGAAGCTCTACGTGTACGACCTGTCCAAGGGCCTGGCCCGGCGGCTTAGCCCCATCATGCTGGGTGAGGGAACGGGGTAGAGGGCTGATGGAAAAAGTCAGGGCCGAGGGGGAAGAGGGTGCGGGCCGGCCGAGGAAGGAGAAGCCGAGGCCGGCGGGGGGAGGGAAGGGCCGAGGGGAGAAGGGCCGAGTGGAGAAGCGGGGTGTCTAGGGCTTGGGCTCCCCTGAACCCGGCTTTCCCACCTTCAGGCTTTAGTCCGGGAGAAGGGATGTTGGAGTCACGCCCTCCCCTTGCGGGGCTCGGGCTGGGACCAAGCCCTCCGGACCCCCTTGAGCTGAGGCTGGGGTCCCGGCTGGCCCTGGCCTCACCTCGGGCGCCCCACCTTCTCCTCCCTCCCTCGGCGTGGTGTGAGGAGTTGAGGATGCCTCCCGCGGTGTCCCTCGTGGTGGAAGGGACACTGCGGAGGATGTTCTCGGTGTCCCTGGAAGAGAACTTCCCTCTGCGCCCAAGGGGAACTTCCTCTGCAGTCCCCGAGGTAGGTGGTTTGGGAGCTGGAGCTGCAGATGGGGCTCAGCCGTCGCGCGCACCCGCAGGTAGAGGTTAAGTGGGGTCAGCAGGAGCCTGAGCTTCGGAATTCGCCACGCTCGGCCTAAACAAGGCCCCCAACAGTTTTTAAGTTAATTGCTTTGGCCCAGATATTAAGTAAGGAATTCTGGGGAACAGTTGGATGCTGTTGTATCAGTAGAGACTAGTAAAGGAAGTATTTTGGTTGCGCTTTTTTAAACTACTTTAATTCACCTGTCCTGTCAAGGTACGAGATCCCAATAATGAAAGTAACTGTACTGTATACCTAAAATGTGCCAATAAATTCAATGAAGAAAAAATAAGTAAACTATTTCAATTCTGGGAGATATTAGCCCTTGTTTGTTGTAAATCAAACCTTATTTCAACCCAAATACCAGGATGTCTTGTGTCAACTTTGTAATTTCAGGTAATAATTGGCAAGAAAGGATTCTAGGAACTGAAAATTGAATAGCTTTGGCAACATCTGTTTGAATGGCAGGTGTTTTTTGGCTTCTGTGAAGACTCTAGAGAAGGAGTTGTTTGGTGGTAGACAAGGGGTTCAGAGGTCAAGGAAGCAAGGCTATCTTTTTTTTTTTAATTTAACCCAGGGCCCTGTGCATGCTAGCAAGCTCTGTACCACTGAGCCACAGTCCCAGCCCTTTTTATTTTTTGAGACGGGGCCTTGCAAAGTTGTCCTGACTACTTTCAGTTTGAGATCCTCCTGTCTCAGCCTCCCAGGGCACTGGGATTACAGGCCTGCATCACCATACCTTGCAGAAGGTTATTTTGGAGGGTATCTTTTCAGTGTCTCTGAGTTTCTAATGTGTCATAGTGAGCTGAACTTAATCCCTCTACCCTGGGCTAGCGAGTGCTTTCTGTATTTTGCTTCACATCAGGATATCTAGGGTGCTTAAAAATATATAGGTACTGGGTGGGGATATAGCTCAGTGGTAGAGCACTTGCCTAACATTCAAAAGGCTCTGGATTTGGTCCCCAGTGCCACCAAAAAAAAACTTTATTTCTGATATATATTATTTGATGAGATAGAAAAAGGGTTATATGGTTGTTTAATATGCATTTAAAGTGAAGGATACATATGTGTTTACTTAGGAAAATCATTCTGTGGGAGGAAACATAGAAATTGCTAACCAGGATAACTTATGGAAAGGGAGCCTCATGACAGGGGACAAAAGTGTCTTGCTGTGTACTTTTCCTTATTGTTTCACATATTCATGTATTCAAAATAAAGAAAGTAGGGCCAGGGACTTAGCTTAGTGGTGCTGCCACCTGCCTCAAAAGCACAAGGCCCCAAGTTTGATCCCCAGTACAAAAACAAACAAGATGAAAAAATAAATTTTAAATATATGAACTCTACAGCCATACTTCACAAGCCTTAAATCAGAATCTCCTATAATTTTGATCCACAAATCTGCACTTTAATAAGCTGCTCGGGTAATTCTTATGCAGCTAACCGATTACTGGATAGCAGTTTGGGCCTACCTCTGCAATTGTTAAAATGAGTAAAGCAGGACTGGGGTTATGGCTCAATGAGAGTGTACAAGGCCTAGAGTTCATTCCACAGCACCATAACCACACCAAAGGTAAGGCAAATGTGAAAGCAAAATTTACAAAGTCATTGTTTAGGGAAATGCGAGTCATTGATAAGATTACATCAGTCCAGTTCTAACCTAACTGGGAGCTGAGTGTGGTGACATATGCCTGTAATCTCAGCACTTGGAAGGGAGCCATTTGTTCGATCATATTGAGGCATCAGTTAGATATTTCTTAGCTACCTAAGTAAAAGTCACCCTTTTACCATGCATGATGGAGCACACCTATAATCCCAGCCCTCGGGAGGCAGAGGCAGGAAGATCACCACGAGTTTAAGGCCAGCCTAGGCTACATAGTGAATTTAAGGCCAGTGTACACTACAGAACAAGACCTTCCAAAAAAAAAAAATCTTCTTTACACTGGGTACTTTTTGTTCTGTTATCTAATAATTACCGCTTTTCACTGAAGGAGGCCTCAGAGGTTAACTTCATTATTCAACAGATACTGATGTGCTTATTATGTGTTAGTCAACGTGTGGGAGATGTTAAAGATAAAAACATACTCAAAATAGGTACAGATATGTGCGATCTGTGCTGTTCAGGAAGCACACTGGTGCTGAGACACAAAATAACTAGGGATACCTACTTTAAATAAGAGTATTGGGATCTCTTCTCAGCTATTTGGCTAAGATCAAGTGAAGAGTATTGGGTAGTGACTTTCAAACTGAACCTTTAGGATAAGGAAGAAGCAACTGGAGGCTGATGGGGAAGTTACATTGTTCCAGGTAGAAGAGGGTTCAACCTGCTAGGGCCTGGAGGCAGGAAAGAGTCCAGTATGGGAACTGAAAGCAGGCTTTGTAGATACAATGGGTGAAGGTAAGAGCGTTTTAAGTGAAGGAGAAATAGCTGACCTGCTCCTCACCCTTTTAAATAGATGTGAAATCCAGAAGGCTTCAGCCTGACAAGGGAGCTTCACCAGTTTGTCCCATCAGATTTCAGTGGTATTTCTAAGGTTATCATTTTGTTACAAATCTGATCCGTTCTTTTTCTCATACTGCTTTTATGACTTTTATAAAGGCAGCGAAGAAAGGATTCACAAAGCTAATGGTCATTTACCTTCTAGAGTTGAAGGCTTATGGATATTAGGCATTATCTTGCTGGTTTATCCCACTCAGGTAACGCCAACCTTAAATGAGATCAGGTATATCCCAGTTCTGTTAGTTTCATTACAGAAACTGTTACATTTGGGAACATAGGATGGATAGGTAGGTAGATATTTCTAGGCAAAATGTAGTATTTTTTATTGAGACAAGGTCTATGTAACCCAGGCTGGCCTTCAACTCTCAGCAATCCTGCTCGGATTACAGGCATCCACCACCACATCCAGCTAGGCAAAATACAATTTAGTGAACATTTGAGATTTTATCCTATGCTCAGTTTCTTGCTTAATTCCGTAGTATAAATAATAATAATAGCATCTCTGTTCTCTAGAAGTTAATTTCTCCCAAAACAAAGTGCATGTATGTAAAAAATTAGATTAACATTTTACAGAGATGATGATCTGATGCCAAAATGAAAATGGTGAACCAGGATGGTGATGCATGCCTATAATTCCAATACTCTGGGAGGCTGAGGCAGGAGGATCACAAGTTTGAGTCCAGCCTGGACAGTTTAACAACAGCCTGTCTCAAAAAAAAGAGAATGGTGCAGCAATTTCAGTTGTTTCAGCAAAAGCCTGGAGCTCCTAGAGGGCAGGAACTCTGTCTCATTTTTCTGTGTCTCCAGTGGCCAGAAGCAGTGCCCAATGAGTTAGTTTGGTTAAGTTTTGTGGTGCAGGGGATCAAACCCAGGGCCTCTCTGAGCTACACCCTTAGCCATAGGAAGTATTGATTATAGAAATGATTAAGGCTTGGACTCAAGCTTGAAGATCATGTAGAATTTATTTGGATCTGAGGGAGTTTTTTGTTTTTTTATTAATAAATTTTACTTATTTTACCCCATTTCCCTTCAAGCCCCTCACCTCGCTATGTACAAAACCTTTGTTTCCATTTTTTCCTATTGACTTTTTTTCTTGTCCCTTCCTTTCTTTCTCCTTCCTCTGAGGGTTTTGGGTGTTTTGTTTTGTTTTGTTTTAATGTTTTAATGCCATCTATTGTGCTTTGTTTTTTGTTTGTTTGTTTGGTTGGTTGGTTTTGGTTTTTTTTGGTACCAGGGATCAAACTTGCGACCTTGCACTTGCGAGGCAGGCAGCGGAACCACTGAGCTAAATCCCCGGCCCTGTTTTTTATTTTTATTGTTCATTGTATGAACTGTTTGATATCCACCAAATGAATGAACTTAGTAATTCTGCAATGTCTTATGAATGCAGCTTACAGAGCCCCATGCGCTCTTGCTCCTGCTTGTTCTCTGCAACCTCACCTGCCTGTGTTCTTAACACACTCACCACCAGCCTTTCTCCACCTGGTTCTGTGAGGGATTCCAGTCCCAGGGAAAATGATTTGGATGACTGTTTTCTCAGTTCTTCAAGTAGATGTCTGCAGAGTTAGTGTTGAACTCTTGCAGAACCACATTCCAGTAGGGCTGGGGAGCTCTGAACAGGGCAGAATGCCTTCAGGTCTCTTTTTCCTGTGGGCTTTTCATAGGTTATGCCCCCTGCTGGGGTACTTTCTCTCCCCCAACTCTTGGCCTGGCTCATTTCTGCCCGTCCTGAGATCTCAGCTCGGATGTCTCTTGCTCCAGGAGCCTTTCCCGGATCCCCAACCCCTGTAGTCTTTCTCTTGTAACCCTATTGTGTGCTGATAACATCGTGTATGCTCCTTAATGCTATTCATCATCCTGTTTCCCCTACTCTGTGCCTCGCTGGTCTGGAAGCTCCATGGGGGCCTTAACTGTCACTTGTGTCCCCAGAGTCCGGCACAGTCAAGCATCCAGTGAACAGGGTGGTGAATGGTGGGGACGTTGTTATCCCCAAAGCACTGCTGCAAGGCCTGGCTAATGACAGGCAATAATCAAGCAGGGATCCTCTCAGTACTGAGGAAAAGAACTCAAGTTACATTTATGCTAGGCATGAATCCTGTACTGACTCCAGGAAATCCCAGCACCAGAGCATTAAGCTGTGCTAAATTGTCCATCCTAGACTCAAACTTGTAATCTTCCTGCCTCGGCCTTCCAGAATTCTGGAATTTCAGCTGTACATCACCACACCCTGTTCTCCTGTCAGGTTTGTTTTTTTCTTTAAGCACAGGTTCGAACTCAGGACCTTGTATTTTCGAGGCAGGTGCAGTGCCACTGAGCTAAATCCCCGGCCCTGTCCAGTCGATTTTTGACAATTACTGCATGACAATTTCTAGATAACCTTTCTCTGTGCAAAGGAGGGGCAAATCCCTGATGTCAGGCATTTTTATACTGTTGGCTGCAGAGGGCTAGTTATGTTACACCAGTGTTTCGTTTTACCTTTTCCCACCTATAATCCAAGGTTAATCCAGTGAGATAAAGAATAGCTGATTTTTTAGGTTAACACTAAGCCTCTCCTGTTGCTAGTAAACTGCCTTTTTGAAACACTTTATTGTAGGAAGAGGACTCTGTGAGGTGAGCTGGGGCTACGTTTCATTTATACTCATGTATTTCCTTCCTCTGCCACGTGAGACAAAATGCTAACCACTCAGAGACCCCCGACCCCTGGAGTCCCATCACTGTCATCACTCTCTGTTTATTAATAGACATTTATTTAGCAGTAGCAGCGGCATACCAGGTGCTGATCTATAAGCAGCATGTGTGTCTATGCACAAGCTCCGTCTGCCTTGGTCATTGAGGAGGTGGGTGGGGCGCTCTCTCTTTGGTTTTTATAGACAGTACTCAATTGGCTGTTGTAATCAGTGGAAGGCTAGCTCACGTAGACCTCTGCATTCTCTGCTAGTCATGCTGGACAGCAGGGCTGATGTACATGTCTTCCACTTGTTCATACTTTACAGGCCTCAAAATGAAGGTGTTGGAGGTGCCACAGGCTTGGACTCTGCAGCCATCAGACACCCACTCCAGTTCACTGAGGAAATCCTAATGGGAAATAATCTACTGCTGTACTGTGCTCATAGCCTTTAAGCCTAATTCACTCCCAAAATGTCCTTGTGCCCTACTTCAGGCACAAACAATCAGTCCTTGCCTTCTACCCTAGTCAGGCCCCCAAAATTTAAAGATCAGCTCAGTCCCACTTTCTGATGTCTGGCAACCTGTCAAGCCACGGCCCTAATTCTTTTCCTCCCAAGGGTAGGGCAGAGTAGCAAGCCTTAACACTTCTACCCAAGCTTCTCCAACAAGTTCATTTTCATATCTCACTTTGTCTTGTTTTTATACCAAACCATATATCTTTACTCACCTAGACAATCTTTGCCCTGCCCTTCCACTTAAAAATGTTGCAAGTGTAAATACAGCTGTGAAGAACTTTAGATAAATAAATAAAAATAAGAGAATGAAAAAAATAAAAAAATCTTTTTTTCTAGACTCCTACTACCATTCTATGGGTGGATTGTTTTTACTGTTGCTGGGGATCAAACCCAGGGCCGCACAGTTGAAAGGCAAAGTGTGATTTCTAGCTACAGGCAATTTTAGTGATCAATAGAGAGGATATAATGGAGGATAAAGTAAACTTTGTATCCTGCAACTTTTGAGTTATTTTCAGATATAGTCACTGGCAGGATGATCTCCAAGATCCCTCCCCAAATTCTTTCAGTGAGGCTGGGTTTGAGCTGATTCATCTATGCCTGCCAGCTGTCCTGGCTCACTGAGCACAGGGGGCACCTGAGCGGCAGTAGCAGACCCAGGCAGGCAGAGCCAGTGCCTGAGTTGCAGAGTCATTTGTGTAAAACAAGCCAGGGCAGCCATGATTGGGGGAAGAACTTTGACCTTGATAGTGCCTCCTGTCAACCAACAGCACTGACTAAACAAAAGCTCAACTCAACAGATATTCATGGAGCAAATGTAGTCTAAATACCTTGACAGGTGCTGGAGTTACAAAGATGCATAAAAAACTGCCCTAGGTATATTAGACTAGCTGTAAAACTTTCAAATTATAAATCCTAAAAGAAATGAATTAGCCTTTGTTAGGCAAGTATTATGTGCCAATAACTGTGCTAGACATATTTCACATGTTATCTTTTTTATATATTGTATAGATTGTTATTAATAAGTCAATATGGTTTTATATGTGACTATATTTATTAGAAATATGTATTTGTACCTGTGTGTATACAGTTACATAGTAAGGGGTATCAATGGGTTCTTTTTCTAATAGGTGTGATGAAGCACCCTGGACTGCCAAATAGAGCTACACATGTGCATAAAGAAATTAGATACACGGGCTGGGGAGGTAGCTCAGTGGTAGAGCACTTATCTAGCAGGCAGGGGGCCTTGGGTTCCATCCCCAGCACCACCAAAAACAAAAAGAAACTACATATATATGCATTATATAGTTACCTATATGTTTATATATGTTCCATTAATCTGTCTTTATGTATGTACATACATAACTAGTTATCAGACAAGGATGATTTTGTGGAGAAGGCCAGCGAGCCTCAGCCTAACATTGAAGTCCTAACAGATATTCCAAATTTGTTATTGCTGCTGGTCCAAAGTCCCCTGTTGCCCTATGATCTCAGGATTTGCCTAGTTCTTGCCACATATCTTCTCCCCACTGCCCCCGTACCTGGGTACCAGGATCAAACTCAGGACCTTGTGCTTGCGAGGCAGGCACGGTGCCACTGAGCTAAATCCCCCACTCCTCCTGTATCTTTTCTTTTAACTCAATATCTTATGAAACAGACATCATCATGCCTTTTTTTTTTTTTTTCAGAATAGGAAACTAAGATTTAAATAGAATGGTAGAACTTTCTGCAGTGATGAAAACATTCTAGACTGTACTGTGCAGTCACTGACCAGTAGCCACTATGGCTGTCGAAAAATTGAAATGTGGTTAAGGCAACTAAATTTTATTTTACTTCCTCTTCATTCTGTTGGCCCCATGTAGATAATGGCCACACTATTAGACTTAGGGAGCTCAAGCTCCACAAGATTCTGTGTGATCTGGCCTCCATTATCCATATTACAGAGCTATCAAGATTGGGTGTCGGCCCACGGATTTAGCTCAGTGGTTCTGTCACCTGCCTCGCAAGCAGAAGGACCCAAATTCAATCCCTGGGACCAAAACAAAAAAGAATGGGTTTGTCTTTTTTCACTTGACTTTGAACTACTTAAAGGCAGGACAGTAATCTGTTTGTGTTTGTATTTTCCCACCTAACAGTGTTGCTGGCACATAGAGAATAAATCTGTACTGGGCTAGGAATGTGGCTCAGGGGTAAAACACGTGCTTATCATGCCTGAGGCCCAGGATTCAATCCCCAGAAACAAAAAATAAAATAAACAAATATGGCCAGGTGTGGTGGCATACACCTGTAATCTTAGCACTTGGGAGGCTGAGGCAGGAGGATTGTGTGAGTTTGAGTCCAGCCTGGGCTACATAGTGAGTTCAAGGCCAGACTGAATATATAGTGAGACCCTGTCTCATATAAACGAATGAATGAATGAATGTGCATTGACTGTTAAATGCATCACATATGCAATGGTTAGTTGCATTATTTTCTGAAGAATTTCACCTTAATGCAGTGGCAATAGTTTACATTGTTTTACTATGACCTCACCACAGATGAGACAAATTTTAAAAAGCAAAGCTGATTTGACCTCGGGAAAGAAAAGCAGGCATAAAATCATTGCACACTTACACTAATATTTTTATCTTCCCTCTGATAAAGGACTCATTGCTTTGGACTTAATACTGTGCACCCTTCTCATGACCCTAGGCCTGCCTTAAAGAAGAGATGCTTTACTAGACAGTCCCCCAAGGGGTTATGCCAGGTTCCTCAGGGCTTGAGGGACTGTTCCAGGATTTACTCAGGCTGCGGGGACGAGTCCCAAGTAGCTAAATCTCTTCTTTTCTCCACAGGGAAACAATTGGAAGGCATCTGGTAAGTTGTGGAACTCCTTATGACCACTTTAGGAAACAAAATAGCACTACACACAATTCAGTCTCCACATCCTAAAGCTCCACTAGGGCTGTTTTGCTCTTCCATTCTCTTTCAAGGGACATTTGGCAGAGTCAAGAGACATTTTTGGCTACTTGTGGTGGTTCACACCTGTAATCCCAGCACTCAAGAGGCTGAAACAGAAGGATCACAGCAAGTTTGAGGACAGCCTGAGCTACATAGTGAGTTCAAGGCCAGGCTGAACTACATGGCAAGACCCTGTCCCGAAAAAAAAAAAAAAAAAAAGACATTTTTCTTTGTCACAGCTTGGGGGAGATGCTAGTGGATAGAGACCAGGAAAGTTGCTCCACACCCTTTAATGTGCAGGATGCCCAAAGCAGTGATCTAGCCCAAAATGTCAGCATACGGAATAGAGAAGCCTTCATCTGTGAGCTGTATGAAGTTCATCAAGGGCCAGGGTTTTGACTCAGTGGTTCTGCCACCTGCCTTACAAGCACAAGGTCCTGAGTTCATTCCCTGGTACCAGAAAAAAAAAAAGAGTTCATCCAACTGCAGAATGAAAATACTCTGGGGGTGAGGGGGATTCATGACCAGAGACCTAACTCAGCACTAGAGTGCTTGCCTATGGCACACTGGAGGCCCTGGACACAATCCCCGGTGCCATAAAAACAAACAAAGCATGCCTGTACTGAACATGCATGGACTTTTTAAAAAATTATTCCCTAAACAATAGAGCCTAACAACTATTTACATAGCATTTACATTGCAGTAGCTATGGTACTAGGGAAATACTTCGCCATTTTATAACGGGCTTGAACATCATGGATTTTGGTGTCTTTGAGAGTGGGGTTCAGGAATCATCCCCATGGACAAGGGGTGGCAATTGTATCTTATTCATGCCTTTATTTGGTTGGCTTTATAAGGCTGGCCACCATGGTGCCATCCTTGGGGAGAAAGTATTACCTTTGCGGTGCAGTGCTTGCTTTCTCTGGGTCCCATCTGACTCCCTGTCTGTCTGTGCAGGCACACCTCCATAGTTGTGCACAAAGATGAGTTCTTCTTTGGCAGTGGCGGAATCTCCAGCTGTCCCCCGGTGAGTGTCGTCTACACCTTGCCCTGCATCTCAGGGACCTGGGGTTCCCACAGACTTAAGAATTTTGCTTCTACTATATGCCTGTCCTCCGCCCCAGTGCATGGAGGCCTGTGGCATGGTTCCTCATCACAACCTTGAGACATGTTCAACACCTAAGGCTGTAGCTCAGGGTAGACTGCTTGCCTTGTGCTCGAAAAGCCCTGGGCTCGATCCCCAGCACTGCACATCCTCCAAAACTGACTCACTGAAGGAGACCTTTTCCAGACACTACAGCCAGTTCCATTTCTCTCCGCTCCCATGGCATCTGTGGGCCCCTCTGTCTTACTCTTAGCATGTTATAGTGACACAGCTACTTCTGAATCTCCATGGGGAAGCATGTGTAAGCCCCAGCAAGCTGAGACCAGGTCTTCCCCATGTAGCCCCATGCCCTTTTCCCAAAACACTTCAGAGATATCTAAGGTTTGTCATGGAAAGGCTCAAAGACTAAGCAACCATTCATGCTGCTACTCATAAATGAAAAGTCAGCCAGACATCATGGGGCTCACACCTATAATGCTAGTACTCAGGAGGCTGAGGCAGGAAAATCAACAAGAGTTTGAGGCCAACCTGGGCTACATAGCTCAAGTCCAGTCTGAACTAAATAGTGAGACCCTATCTTGAACCAAAAAGGGCGTGGGGAATCATTCTTGATTTCCTCTCTTGGTCACCCTCACCCCCACCTCTCTTATCTCCCCAGAGCTTTCACCTTAGTCCAGGGCCCCCAATCTAACCTGGACTGCAGCAATAGCCTGGTCTCTTCCATCTGCTCTGCCTCCTCTGTTCTCCACACAGGAGGCAAAGTGGTCTTTTCCTGCTATCATGGAATTTTGGGTTGGAGCCAGAATCCTCCCCATTACTCTTGGAGTAAAACCCAGAATGCACAACTAGGCCCTCAAGGCCCCCCGATGGCCACCTTGATGTCATGCCCTCCCAGCCCCACCTGTCCCCCACTCCTTGAGCGCACCTTGGGCATCTGAACCTATATGCCGACTTCAGTACACCGTCAAAACCTCCACCCCATGAGCTTCTCTATCCTTTGTTTCTGAGTCCAACCAAGCTTTGCCTGTCCCCTCAGACTGAGGGAGTCCCCTATCATGTGTACTAAGGCCTTCTGTGGTTTTCCAGCACAGCCTTTATTGCCACTTATAATTACACACTGGTTGCATTCCCTGCTAAACTACCAGGTCCATGAGAGCAAGGATCTCATCTGCTTTGCATACATTATACCCCCAGTGCCTAGCATAAGACATGGCATGCAGTGAGTTCTCGATATCTGTTTGTCCTGTGAGTGATTAAGGTCTCCACTAGTGACCCCTCAGTCTCTCCTAGCAATGAGCTGTTTACCCCTGATGACATTTTCCTGTCCTGCTCACCATACTGTCCATGATGCTTAGACTGTGTCAGCCACATAGGAGATGCTCAGTGCTGTGAATTAATGACCTCACACATTTCTGCTCTGGAAAGGTCTCCCTTCCTGGATCTGTCCTCCATGTTCCTGTCGCTTTCCCTTTTGTTGGTGTCCCCACTGGCCCTCTGTCTCTCCTTTAGTCTTCTGTGACAGTCTCTTAGCCCATGGCTGAGGTTTTCTGTGGCATTCCAGGAGCCAGCACCTCTGCTTCCTGTACCATCAGCAGATTGGCCTCAGATCAAAAATGAACTGAATTGTGGGAATATTTGCAGATTTCTCCCACTCCTTCACATTTTCTCATTGTCGTAAAGCACAATCCAGTGTGTCACAAGAAAAATGGGCTGTGTTCTTTCTGAATATAAGTGTGGAGGGCAGGTGTGAGCCAATTCTACTTGTCCTTTCTTTGTAGTCAGACATGTTGGGGACAAAAAGAGACTGCAGATTCTGGGTTTCTATCTCTTAATCAGCTGAATGAGTAGACAGCAGAAGTTGTTGGGCCTGCAAGAGAATCAGCTTCTCAGGTCCCACCAGAAACAAGAATCCTAACTTCACGCTCTGCTAGCAGCACATGGCAATGGGAAGTCCATCAGGAAGCTGTTACCCTTGATACAAACAGGAAACAGCCATCACCATCTGCCCAGTGTGCTCTGAAAGTTAAAAATAAGTTGTTAGAACAGTGCATTTGTGGTCTTCTGTGGAAAGCCACATTAAAAAAAAAATCCAGCTGGGTGTGATGGTGCACACCTGTAATCCAGCACTCGGGAGGCTGAAGCAGGAGGATCACTGAGTTCGAGACCAGCCTGGGCTACATAGTGAGTTCCAGGTCAGTCTCAACTACATAGTGAGACCCTGCCTCAAAAAAACAAAAACAAAATTTTTAAAAATCCAGCAGATGGCTAGGGACGTAGCCCATTGATAGATGCTTGCCAAGCATGTGTGAAGCCCTGGGTTCAGTCCCCAGTACCACCACCACCACCACAAAAAAAAAAAAAAAAATCAATGGAGATGGTGATTCATGACTTTCTTTGGATTTGCCCTTCTAGGGAGGGACATTGCTTGGGCCTCCAGACTCTGTGGTTGATGTGGGGAGCACCGAAGTGACAGAAGAAATCTTTCTAGAGTACCTGTCCTCCCTGGGGGAGTCTCTGTTCCGGTGAGTGGAGGAGGGGCCGATTAGCGGCATTTGTCTCCCCTTGGAGGCTGCCACTGTGCCTTGTCCCTGGGGCACCCAGTGCAAAATCTGGCCCAGTTTTTGCTGAATGTAAAAAGAAAGCAGTTACCATTGCTACAAGAAGAACCCAAAGTTGTTCTGAGGAAGATAAGTTCTGCTAGAACTTTTTTTTTTTTTCCTGATACCAAGGATTGAACTCAGGCAGGCGTGGTGCCACTGAACTAAATCCCCAGCCCTCTGCTAGAACTTTTAAAGAAAAGGCAGCCTCTTCTTTCCTACTGATTAAAGTCAGCAAATGCTGTTCTCTACCTTTACTGGCCAGGTGCTTTGTCCTGAACAAAAGGTAGGTTTGTCATGGTACTGGCAAAGAAACAGACCCAAGAATCAGTGGAATAGTTTAGAAGATGCAGACACAACTCACTCAGCCACTTTTTTTTTTTTTTTTGGTACGGAGGATCTAAGTCGGGACCTTGCACTTGCAAGGCAGGCGGTAGAATCACTGAGCTAATCCCTGGCCCCTACCATCTCATCTTTGACAAAGGAGACAACCACTCTGATAGGAAGAAAGCCTCTAAAATGTGGTGCTAGAAAAACTGGATTTCAACCTGCCACAAATTAAAACTAGATCTGTATCTTTCACCATGCACTACACTAAAATTGAGTGGATTGAAAATCTAAATATTAAAACAGAAACACTAAAGTTGCTGGAAGCTAAGTTAGGTAGAACTCTTGAAGACACTGGCATAGGAAAAGACTTTCTGAACAAATCCTCAGTAACAAAGGAACTAGCACAGAGAATCAACAACTGTGCTCTCATCCTATTAAAAAGCTTCTGCACTGCAAGAGAAATCACCAACAGAGCTAAGAGACAACCTACAATGTGGGAAAAAAATTTTTAGCAGTTGTTCCTCAGACAAAGGACTACTATCTAGAATATATAAAAAACATTAAAAAAAATCATCCCCCACATTTAAAGACCCAGTTCAAAACTGGGCATCTGAAATGAACAGACATTTCTCAGACAAAGAAGTAAAAGCAGCAAATAAACATGAAAAAATGTTCAACATCACTGGTCATTCAAGAGATGCAAATGAAAACAACACAGATTGTACCTCACTCCAGAAAAAATGGCTGCTATCAAGAAAGCAACCAGTAACAAATGCTGGCATAGTTGTGGGGAGAAAGGAATCCTCCATTGGTGGGAGTGCAGACTGGTGCAACCATTGTAGAAATCAGTATGGACATACCTCAGAAAACTAGGATTAGAGGTCCCATTTGACCCAGCTATTCCCCTGCTGAGTGTCTTCCCAAAAGAATAGAAAGAATCATACCAGTGATATATGCGCACCCATGTTCATAGTGGCACAGTTTATAAATAGCTAAAACTTGGAAACAGCCCAATTGCCCATCAAATGGAGACTGGATAAAGAAGATGTGTTTATTT